CTGTTGGCAATGCAGGGATCATATCGATTAAAAACAAAGCCATACTCCTCTAGAGAAGCTCTCAAATTTCGATACCATAGCAACGATGCCTGCAACATCCCATATATGGCACAAAGGATCACAACATAGATCACTCTCTTGCCATTCTCATAAACAACATAATCGCGATAGGTCGGGTCCAAATCGATCATATATCGGACCATCAGTCCAGTCACCTTCATGATCACCCGATCTTCTCCATCACCTAAATCTGGCATCAAGGTCTGAATGAATGCATTCGGAATGTCCATTGACATCATGCATCTACCTTTGTGCGCGTCAATCACTCCTGTACAACAGATACCTTCATGCGATGCGGTCGGGCTAGCTGTGTCCTCCCGTGACAGCCAGTCCCTTGTTTCATTTCCTTTATATACAAACCGACCTTTGATATCACCACTGTTTTTCTCTGCCAGTAGCATCATTGCATCGACTGCTTTCCTCTTCTCGGACTCAGTCAGTTCACCAATACTGATGGGTGTCCAACAACTTTGTTTGATCAGTTGATCAAGTTCCTTGAGCGCAGCTTCTTTTCCTCGCTCTTTGAAAATTTTCAATCCTTTGTTAAGATAATACTGCTGAATAAATGACACTCCATCCCTTGTGTACACTTCGTCACAAATCTGTTGCATGACGCGTGAAATCACCAACGACTCATCCACATTGTAAGTCGCTTTCTTCTCAGTTCCACTCTGTTGGAACATTAAGTTATGCGCCCGTTCCGTAATCTTTCTTCTTGTTTCAGCGTTCAACACGTTGTCATCCCAAAACTCTCCTTTCTTTTGTGATTTTACCTTTGACGCGATAGCCTGGTATAATGAGATACGTAATCTCTTCAACCGTGCCTTCTTTCTCATGGCACTCCTGTTCTTTAACAAATTGATCTTGGGCTTCTTTCGTTGTGAATATGTTTGTCCATATCTTGGTCTGTCAGTTCGATTCCTATCTGTGGGTCGATACTTGACTCCGTTTGAATAAAATGATCGTCCACTTTGTGTTCTCCTTTTTTTGTCTTTATTTGAATCATCTGTTGTACTCAACACGGGGACTTCTTCAAACCTCACTCCTGCACAAACATCATCTTCCTCGTCAGGATATACTTGTGGTTCGTCTTCTGCTTCTTGCAGTTCCTCTATTTCTTCTGCATCATATTCACCCTCATAGTCATCGTCTTCATCTTCAACGCTGAACATTGTTTCTTCTTCAATGGGTTGGCTCAATCTATCCAACTCATGGGCTACTTCATCAATCATATCTTTTAATTCTTCATCATCCATATCCATTTCAATATCGCTTTCAGGTTGCTGATCCTGCACGAAATCCATATCGTCTTCATCGTCTTCTTCTTGACGTCTTTTAATTCTTTGCAGCATGCGGTCGACAGTTCTATCTGCCTCATCATATTCATGTTGTCTCTTATCATCAATTCTTCTAGATTCCAGTATATCTTCGGCTGCATCCTCGATTAGTTCTTCAAGTTCTTCATCTGTGATTGCATCATTCTTGCGCAAATTCATGTCATTGACCGGTGGAATCACAATATCTGCAGGTACATAATCTTCGTCCCACAGTTCATCTGGGTCCACTCCTGCGAGCAGATCAGCATCCAAAATTATTTCTCCATTGCGTTTGGAATAGGTTCCTAAATCTGTAACGCCTTCCTCAGCAGCATGGGCTTCAACCAATTTGATCACTTGATCAGTGATTGGGAGCACCGTAATTCGAGGTCAAGTTACCTCTCTTTTCGTGTTCAAATCATATAGCTTGTGACCTTTTTGCATATTATCAGCTGGTCCCAAGTAAATCGCTTCAATAGTGCGTGACCGATGATCACTGCGAGTATCATGTCCATAACCATGGACATACGACCCAAGTTCAGCAACAAAT